TCATCATCATCATCATCATCATCATCATCATCATCATCATCATCATCATCCTCATCATCATCATCATCATCATCATCATCATCATCATCATCATCATCATCATAGTCATCATCATCCGATTCATCATCATCATCATCTTCCTTATCATTATATCCATAATGCCGTCCGTCGGATAATCATCTTCATCATCAAAATCGTCAGCATTATCATCATCGTCAACATCATCATCTTCATCCGTATAATCATCTTCACCTTCAACTGCATCACCATCATGATCACCATCCGACACTTCATCATCATCCATATCATTATCCGTTTCATTATCATTATCGGCATTACCGTGATCATCGCGATCATCATCAACCACATCGCCTCATCTCCATAATACAAATAATCATCAGGATTAGGGTCATCGTCATTTTCACCATCGTCGTCATAATCCGAATCATCATTCGAGTCAACATCATCATCGTCTTCATCCGAATCATCCAAAACATCATCATCCGATTCATGATCATAATCTTCATCGTCATTTTCATGAGGCTGATCATCATCATATTCATCTATAACATCACCATCATGATTCCTGTCATCATCGTAATCAGCAACATCATCTTCATTCGAAACATCATCAGCATTATCATCCGTATCATAGACATCATCAACATAATCATCATCATCATCATCGTTATCATCATCAGGTTCGGTATGCTCAGCCTCTTCCGAATCATCATCATCAACATCATGATCATCATCATCATCATCATCATCATCATCATCGTCATCCGAAACATCATCACGATCAGCTTTAAAAACATCATCACAATCATCATCATCATCAACACCATCTTCATCATCATATTCCGATTCATTATCATCATCTTCCGCATCATCATCATCATCATCATGATCATCATCATTATCATCCGAATCATGCAAATCATCATCGTTTTCCGTTTAGTCATCACAATCTTCTTGATCTTCAGCGTTGTCATCATCATCATCCTCATAACCGTCATCATCAACACCGCCACCAACATCATCATCATAATCATCATGGTCATCCTTCGGAATAACATGAGCGTCATCATCCGAATCAACGTCATTATCATGATCTCCATGATCATCAACATTATCACCATCAGCATCTAAATCGGCATCAACACCTTTATCATCACAATCATCATGCGAATTATCATCATTATCATCATCAACATCATCAACACCATCAACATCAAACCTTCATCATCATCATCTTTACGATGATCATCATCATCATCATCTCCTTCATCACCATCATCTTCCGAAGCATCCTCATTATCCCGATCATCATCATCAACACAATCAGCATCATCATCGTCATCATCATCATCATCATCATCATCAACATCATCACCATCAGATTCATCACTGTCTTCAAGATCATCATCATGTTGTTCACCTTCATCATCATGTTCTTCCCTTTCAAATGAATCATCATCATCGTCGTCACCAGCGTCAACATCATCATCTTCATCAACATCATCGTCATCATTGCATGATCATCTTCATCATCATATTCGACCTCCTTATTCGATTCATGGACATCATTATCATGAATATCCTGCCAACCGTTATCCTCCTCTCCTCGTCGTCATCATCATGAACATCATTTTCTTCATCATCATCATCATCATCATCACCACACGATACCTCATCGTCACACTCATCATCATCCGAATCTTCATCATCAGCATTATCATCGCCATCGGATTCACCATCATGAGCATCATCGTCCTCATAATCGAAATCATCATCAACATCATGCTCATCATATTTATCACCATCATCATCATCATCATCTGAATGATCATCCGAGATATCATCAATATCATCATTATCCGAATCTTCGGAAACATCCTCATCATCCGACTCAATCAAAATCTTCATCAACTTTATCATCATCAGCCTGATCATCATCATCATCATTATCATCCGATTCAACAGCGGATTCATCATCATCATCATCATCATCATCAACATTAGGACCATCATCATCATAAACTTCCGAATCATCATCCACATCATCACCATCATTATTATCGTAATCAGCATCATAATCATCATCATTATCATCGTCATCATCATCCTCATCATCGACGTCACCATCATCATCGAAATCGTAATCTTTGTCATTATGCTCCTCACCATTCAAGTCATCATCATTATCTTCCAAATCATCATCAGGATTCTCTTTAAATTCCGTATCATGATCTTTATCGTCATCATCATTCGAAACCTCATCATCATCATCGACATTATAATCATCATCGGATTCATCATGGTCATCATGATCACCATCATCATCATCATCAGGGTCATCATCCGAATCACGATCATCATCTTCGTCATCCGAACGATCAAAATCATCATCACAATCCACTCGTCATCATAATTTTGTTCATCATCAAACTCATAATCATGATCATCACCATCATCATCAGCGTCATCAACATCGTCATTATGAATCGAATGATCGTCCTCATCTTCCGAATCATTATCTTCAATAATTTCAACATCCGAAACATCATCATCATCCTCATCATCATCCGAATGATGGTCGTGCTCGTTATCAACATCCTAATTCGAATCCTGTTCCTCCTCCTCCTGTTCATCCTCCGAATCTTCATTCGCATCATCAACATCATCAGCATCAGCATCATCATGATTATCAACATCATTAGCCGAATGAACATCATCAGAATCTTCAGAATCATCATCCGATTTATGATCATCATCTCCATCGATCGAATCATCCAAATCATCATAACTCTCCG